TGTGGCTTTCCAGGCAGCACCCACTGGGCAGCACCATCAATAGGAGTGAAATGAAAAGACAAACAATGGGAGCTGGAGCACTGGCAGCAGCCCAGAGCCTTGTCCTCAACAGAGCCTGAAGGCAAATGCTGGCGAGCTCTGCCCCTGAGCACTGCAGCCCTGCTGCACAGAGCTTTTCCCAGGAAATTTCACCCCTGTGCTCCAGAGAGGGAATGTTCTGGAAAGAAAAAAAAGTTCTGAGTTCTTGCATCTTTCTTATATTCTTTCTTAGCCTTTATTTTTATGGAAGGACTTAATCTAGTTATTTAATGATTGAAGCTTTTCCTCACAGGCCTTTAATGATAATCACAATAATTATTTTTTATCATGCTTATTCCTACATGCCTCCTGCCAACATGCCTGAGGTGCTGCACAGACATTGCAAAACACAGTACAAATTAAACATAACAAAAGAAAATCCAATGAAATATTTAAAAAGACACATCTGATATTAACAAGAGAAAGGCTGTTTTCAAACATGAGGAATTTCAAGACAAAATTGCTGTGAATTCTGAGGGATTCTGGTGAGGTTCTTGCCACCAACCCTATCAAATCCACTTAACTACAGTGGATGAAATGTTTGTTCATTTCCCTCTGGCTGGCATCTTCCAAGTACTTTTCTCATTTTATTATAAAATATTTTGAGATTGTTTCTGCTTTGTATGCAACCCAGAAAATACATCTTTTTTTGATACCTGCAGTGCTACTATAATATGGCCATCATCTTTAAAACAGCTAAACTGACAATATGCCATTTAAGAAAATATTACTACTGTGTTATACAGAAAGACAAACAAGACAGAGAGGAAGCTAAGCTTGCCAAGATCAAACAGAGCTTGTGGTAGAAAAAGAATTTGCACCCAGCTCTTCCAAGTGCTGGCCTATCACCCCAAATAAGCTGCTCTAAATCTTCAGCTGTCATCAAAACACAAGAAATAGGGGGATTAAATACAAATAAGTAAATCTGAAATCATGAAACAACAGCTGAGATCTTAAAACAGAAAAATTATGCATTTGTATGCAGTTGATGAATGCATAGAGTATGGATGACTCTCAAGGCATCCATAGCATGTACAAATTTAACGATCAATTTGATGAAAAATTTAAACTCTTTTGCATTTGAAAATAGAGTACCTTTTCCATGTCCTATTTTTCTTGCATGATTCTTAGCCTCTTGTCAGACAAGCTCTCCTAAACCTGAACTTCAGAATATCTGTGCAGCTATTGAACTGCATGTAGTCTGCTTGTTAACAAGAAATGAAGCTGGAATGTAAGTCACTGCTAATTAAACTCATAATTACAAATGGAAGGTCAGACAGCAGATCCAAGAGCTGTTTGAAAATGTAATAAGACAAAAGAAAGAACAAACTCGCATGTAATAATTCTGCCTTACTTGGTAGACTGACCCATTAGAAGATTCCTCAGCTGCACACAGTACTGCAGGCAAATATTAGAATAATAAATGCAAATCATTTGGGTTTAAACTTAAACAAGTTTGTCAAGGATTAGCACAGGTTCTAAACATTGCCTAGATTTCTTATTAAAAACAAAAATTGAGAATTGATTATTTACAAAGTTAGAACGTGAATCAGATTTTCCTAACCGGAGCGCCAAAATAGTTGCGATCAGTAGTTGCCTTCCCTTTTTCATATTGAAGTAAATAACATCTCTCTCCTCTGCCCCTAAGGGGTCAGGAAATCTGCTTGATGTGTCACTGCCCTGCCTATGGATGTCTATACACACAGAAATCCTGAGATAACCATGACATTGCCTTTGTTCCCTGGCTGGGAGGTGGGACACAGAGAAGATGAGAAGTGCAGGAGGCAATTTAGACAAAGGGATTGAGAAGCAGCATTAAAAGATCAATGGGGAGCAGAAGCACCAACCACTAGCAACTGAAAAATTGAGAGCAGCCAAGGAAGGTACACCAAATTTCTTGTCAGCTTTGAGCTCCTGAGGGGATGGAGGTTGTCATGTGGGTCTCAAACTCCATGTTTGGACCCACCCCACCACCACATGACACCAGGATGAATGATGGGCACACAGGACACATAAGGAGCAAGGAAGCATGTGCTGTCACTCCAGACCAGAAAGGCAGTGCTTCTTCTTGTCAGCACACTTGAGATGAGGCCCTTGACATTCTGAGAAAACCCAAGGAGAAGAATAGTTTTTCTTTCCAAGTTAAGCACGTCTCTTACTTGGGATCTAGACACCTGGAAAAAAAATCCTGTTTGGGATTTACAAAGTAACTGTCAGAAACAAATACAGGTGGCAGATCAAAGCTGCTTTCTGCCATTCTCCTACACTGGATATTTCACCTTTCTGTGAGCCACAGGAAGCCTCTGAAACTCACAGCAGGGTGGAATAGCCTTGTGAGACTTGACGATGACAGATATAAAAACCAAAAAACAGTATTCCCTTATCAGCAGGCTTTCATCTGACACGATAATTCTAAAAGTCTGCCTTCCAACAGTTCAACTTCGCTTCAGTGAACGTCTCACCAAGCCCCTTCTAATAAATATTGTTTATGATTTCTATGACACACTTGTTTTGCAGTGAAATTGTGGAGGCAGTGATCACTGGGTTGATTGACACCTAGTTATTCAATCAAACATACTTCTATTTCACTAGTCATAGACCACACATGCCAAATTTGATACTGAAACAATTTCCATTAGGCATTTTAGAGAGGGCTTGGGAAGAAAAATCAGTCTTGTAATGAAAATCTTAACTATGCTGCAGCTACTGCAGCATCATAATACTTATTTCTCACCTGCTGACAATTTGGAGGCAGCAGCACTGAACACCAGAGGACTCCTCTATGGAGGGAGAGATAACAGCAGACATTTACTAAAAGGATGGGGGCTGTTTTCTCTTAACAATGGAAGTGTACACAGATAGATTTGGTAGTTCTCAGCTGGTGAGCAAATATTCAGCTCTAGCTCATTGTGGCTCTTTGGGTGGGAAAAATTGATTTCACATAAGTATTCCTTTCTGGATTCATGAAAGACAGAATGCAGGCAAGCTGAGTGGCAGAGTTAGGCAGAAACATTCACTGCACATCATATGATGTGAAGCCAGCTAGAATGGGGAGCTGAGGCCCAAGGCCACGATTAATTAATGAAAGGCAGTAATTCACTTTCTCAGAAAAAAAATACTTGTTCTAAATCTGACAAATTATTTTATAAGCTCTTTTGCCTAAAGAGTGGGGACATGAAAATCATAGCTCAGAGATGGATGAAGGTTCAACAGAAAAACTATTTCTTTACCCCACCTCCTCTGGCCAAGGCACTTCAGGAATGATTTGGGAACCTAAACCACAGCATCCAGGACCACTTTTAACATCAGGCAATATAAAGTATCCACATTGGGGCTGACAACATCCACTAGAGATCCCTGCCCCTACAGCCAAGTAGGTGGAACACCGGCAGTGAAGCTTCTGGAAACTTCAATTTCTTTTGGCATTTACGTTCTGGCACCTGAAATACACTGCTGATGTTTTCTTACTTCTACATCCTCAACTTGTATTAGGGGATGTGATAAAGGGACCTGGCAGCTACCATTCAGTACAGAAAGGCATTTAATTACTATTCTCCAGCTGCCATCTCTAGCAGTAGAAGGGTTCCTGAGTTCAATACTTGTGAAACAATTCTGAGCAGGTCCTTTACCCAAAAAACTTATCTCCTCAAGGTTCTTAGAAATGTCCTTTCATTTTAATAAGAAGGGGATTTAAAATCCCTTGTAAATGTTGTAACAGTTCATACTCAAAGGCCTCCTCTAAAAATCCATAGTTCGGCTCTTAAACCTCTTTTTTTTTTCAGAGATTCCTCATGTAATTACACTGCAAATTTTGTCCTCCTCTGAACTTTGCTGAGTTTTAGAAAGTACTGATTAGACCAAACAGAAAATTTCTTCTGCAGTGAAAGAAATAGAACCTTCAGACATTTTTAAGAGTATCATTAGTCAAGCTTTCTGGATAGCCATTTGTGTCTTGCTTTTCAAGAGCAATTTATTCACTGAGCTTAACCTTCTTTCCAGTACATCCAGTCATCATACATGGATAGTTTTATTCTACATAGTTTCTCATGGTATTTCCAGAAATTACTTGGAGTACTTATTTGTGTTACTGTTAAGACCCATTTATTATGGCCAAACTAACAGAAAGTGAATTTAAAACCAAAGCCTGTTAAGGTGATGATGATGTTGATGATATATCCAAACAAAGCATTACATTATCTGCAAATGAACACTGGCAAGCTAAAAATTGGAAATTCTGTTGAACTCATGTTTAGAAGAAATGGACTTATGTTCTTCTGTGCAGAAACCACAAGAGCCAGCCTCACCTCAGTGACAATTCTTTTGTTTCAGGAAGAGAACACAAACATTCAGTGTCTGTCTTCCCAATGCAATCCCAAATAAGAGTAGCAGCTTAACTGTGCCACCCTCTAACACTCGAAATCCTTGGCTCAGCACTTTCTGGAAGAAGAGCCCTGCTACTGCTCCACTCCATCACTACCGCATCAAACATGAGATATCAGGCTCTAACCTTGTCAGCACTGAGTGTGAAATTTCAACGGCCCTCCCAGTACTTCACATCAGTGTGAAGGTGGAAATTTTGTCCACATTTTGTGAGAAAAAAATTGAAAAGCTTTGACCTTTAAATTTGCAGAAAAAACCCCCAAGTTACACACACACAAATTGCAACCAAACAACCAACAGGACATGAGAGACCTCTCTTCTGGAAAAATACAGAACTAAAGTGCCCTTGTCCCCTCCATCAGAACTGCTTGAAGGCTGTTGGAGTGAAGGTGAAGAGGGGGAGAGGAGAGAAAAACATTCACTGCAAATAAGCAGAGTATTTTATTAGAGTTATCTCTTTCTTGCAAGAATGAGCACTGAAATGGATAATACCTTCCTGTGAAATCCAGGTTTCCAGCTTCGTGTTAAGAAGAGGCTCTTACCTTATGGGATTATCCATCCTTGATACTGTGAGAAATGCTGCTAAATTCGCTGTGTAGGAAGAGCACACAATAAGGGTGAAGAGCCACCAGCTTCCCATGACAATGCGCATCGCCACAGAATTGACAGTGGACTCGCCCCCTACAAATAAACAGAGAAATGAGGGTCTCTCAGCAGCTTCCATTTGCAATCACCCTCTGTGTGGCCACGTATGTTGAACTTCCTTGAGTTCCTCTCTGCTTCCCCTCCAGTCTGCCCTTTCACTGTGGGAAAAGCACTGCTTCTGTTAAGGCTGATAATTCACAAGTATTTTTTCCAGTCTACCTCTTGCCCGAGACAGTGTTCTAGAAAATCATCTTTCAAAATATTTCCCTTGAGAATTATTGAGGATCAAATCTAAAGAACATGAAAAATGTTCTAAATAGAGTTGAATGGTGAAGCACAACTAATATGCAGGAATTAAATCATTACAGTGTTCAGATTACAGTAATATTCTGTTTTCAATTACCCTTTCAGAAATGGAACAAAAGCCCCACAGAACTGCCTAATGGTTTGTGTGCTATCTTTGCTGTATTTAAATCTGCAAAGACTGAAGCATTAGTGTCATTACTTGTTACCCTTTACAAGACTTCAAATCATAAGATTTCTTTCCAGCAGTCTTCAAGCACAGTTATGCTTGAGTATCATTGGAGACTAAACCTCACCATAGAGCTGGTTCTACTTACTTCAGCACATGTTTGTGCTGATTATATTTTACTGCACTTAAACCCATCAAGGCTGCCACCTTAATGAGATGAGGGACCAAGTTTCATTGCAATAGGATGGATTTTCCAGCTGAAGCTTTAAAGCTTGCAACCACAATGAAAAAAATGTAGGAAAAAAGTTAACTTTACCCATATTTCAGCATTCAATAACACTTGCCTTCCAAGAATACAACTAACATTCCAGATATGGCATAAAAACTGTGTGGGCAGATTTTGTAAACAATTAGTTACAAAATGACTTTTTTAATGGCAGCAGTCCTACTGAATACAGTAGGATTTGTGCTATGCCTAGACATTCCTGAGTGAAAAGTTAGTTACACACTCAGTTCAATGAACCAAGAGACGAACTATCTCACGTGAGTTCAAAAACATATGTTTTTGAACAAAAATGTATTTCTAAGTCATACAAAATGTATTTCAAAGTCAAAATAAAATGTATTTTTAAGTCATACATTTTTTCATCAAAATGCCCTTTTTTCATCAAAATGCACTTCACTGCTCTGGTGGATACAGCAGGTTGCATGAACTGACACATTTCTATTTTCATTTATACATTAAACAATTAAAAAGGTGCTAGTTTCAGGGCTGAAGAAGTGCTGCAATTCTGCACCAAGCAGCTCTGCAGTTCACTTCCAGCGTAACAATTTTCCCAAAGAAGAAAACCCTGTTAGTGGTTTTTCTGGACATACTGAGAGACAGAAAAGACATAAAAAAAGACATAAAACCCCAAACTTGCCTACTTTTCCCTCTTTTGCTCATCCGGGCTAATAAAACATAATACCTGCCCATTCTGCTGCACCTTTAGCGCACTATGGGCAGGGCTGAGCTGCCCGTGGCTGCCGGTGAGTACCTTGCTGCACGAAGGCTCCGTACACGACCCAGATGGCGCTGTGCAGGGTGGAGGACACGGAGGGGCTGGGCTGCGCCGCGCCCTGCGCCCGCACTGCCTGGATGCGGTTCAGCACGAAGATCAGCACACCCACGATGGGGATGGCCGCTGCAATGCAGGCCCACACCGCGAAGTCGAAAGGAGCGAAGAGGGAGAAGATGTTGATCTTCTCCTCGGGCTTCTTGATTAAGATGCCCACGGAATAGTCCATGTAGCGCTTGCTGAAGTCCACCACGCTCTCCCGCTCGGGCGTTATGGTGATGGCTGAGATGGCCAGGTCTGCTCTCTGCAAGACAAACGCAGCACGTCACATCGCTCCCTGCCACCTGGAGTTTGGTCAGCAGGAGCCTTAAGGAGAAACTTTCTAAGAGCCAAGTGACTCCATGCTCCTCCTTCTGTAACTTAAAACATTTAGATGCACTCATATAAATTCCCTAAAAATAAAACTAGAATAACTTTCACCATTTAAACATTAGTTAATTGCACTGGCCCAAAGAAGAGTAATGAAACATAACCCATCAAGGTTCTCTTGAACGAGAAGCATGATCCTGACTCCTCTCTGGAGGAAGGGTAGCTTATTTAACCTTTATCCCTCATTTGTTTCCCAAAGAAGGCCTAAAACTCCTAACCATACTAACCCAGAGCAATGTAAGCAATAAAGAAAGAAACACCATTTATTTAGCTTGTGTATTTGTTAGCAGGGTAGGAAGAGCTAATGTTTGTTTTTCTCCCTGCAGAATTGCCAACTTTCCATATTCATGAAGAGATTTCATAGGAAAACTGAGGAGAAGATTTTGTTTGTTTTTTAAAATGAATAAAGTGATGGAAAAAGCTCATAACAGGAAAAATGCACAAAGGCAACTTTACTCCTGAAACTCCTTTGGCTTCAATATTTAAAACAAGCTGGTTTTGCATGCAGGTAATCCTTAAAGAGTATGCACACTTGATGAAGGGTAAGATAGGAATTAATAAATAAGATTCCCAAAGCTTCTGAGGAGCTCCAATTAGATTTTCAATATTTTCTGTCTTAATAAAAAGAGGCCTCTTCAAAAAAACCCTCAGAATATACATTCAGTTTTCTATCTCTAATTGTGTTGGGAATGTAAAGCAAATATTAGAAGAGGGAGGTTTGTTTTAAAACCCTTTGGAGTCTGTGGAACAAATGGTAGCAGAAATACCATTTAAAAATAGCATAATAGATATTTTATTGCTTCAAAGAAAGCAATTTCCAAAGAAATTTAACAGGAGTTCTTACCTTATTTTTAAATCCATTAAATTCAAACAGTTTATGTCAATGCAAAATAAGTTGAACATTCTTTTTGCTCCCTAGCACCAACCAAGAACATCCCATTATCACACACATGTTTGCATAGCTTTAATTGCTTCTATTTCTTCCTAAACATCTCCTTACAGATACTGAGCCACCTATTTACAAGATAATGAGAAAGCTTTCACTTTCAGTAATAAGCTCCACTGAAAGAGAGTAACCTTTTCTACAAAAAGCAGCAACATGGAATATTAATTCCTTTGATTCTTCTTCTTGATTAATGCTTGTCCCACACGAGGTTGCAAGAACATGAACAAAATACACTCCTTTTATTCTCTGGGAGATTCCAACCTACAAACTCTACCCATTTACTTAAATAGATTTCAATTAACTTACTCCTTGATTTGCAATACTGTAATTAAGAAATTTGGTCCTGTCAGTTTTAAATGACTGAATACTCTTGAGACCAGTTTAAATTCTGATCCCCTATCCTGGGGCTACTTTTCCTGTTTGGGAGTCAAATTCATTGTCATTACTCATTGGTCTTTATTAAACATATCATCACAAAATGACAGAAAGTCCCATCTACAAACAACTTTCAAAGACAAAATGACAAAAAATAAAACACTAGTAGTTAATATTTTAAGGAGAATACCTTACTTTTTTCTTTATTTTCTATAGTCATTCCCTCACACACACACAAATGACCTCTATTCTTATAGTAATGTAAACACGCATATTTACACCAATAGAATTTATGTTGAGAGCAGCTGGAAGCAAATAAAACAAGAGACTCTCTAGTTCCTATCCTGCATACAGAGTCTTAAATTGTAGTTTATGTCACACTCAAACCATCCATAGCTCAGAAGCATTCTGCACTGCTGCCTTCATCCTAATTCATTCTCCTGCAATTTTTTTAAATGCAGCTTCTTCTCTGTGTACCTTGTTAATGAGTTCTCCAATCATGCCATTCCAGGAGCTGTTTTGGAGCTGGTGTCCATACTTTCCATCAGGAGCTTGATATATCTCATACTTGAATCCCAGATTCTTGGCCAGTGCATCCAGGACATCGATGGAAAATCCTTTATATCGTTTTGGCTGCCCAAGGATGTTCTCTGCCACCATCACAAAAGGCTCTTCCTGAGAACAAAACAATATTTTAACTGACACTTGAAACAAGATTTTTTGTTTACTTCTCTAAGCAAAAGGGTGTTTTCTGAGTTAATTCTGGAAAACTTGGCACAGATTTTGAGACACCCATAACATTCTGAAGCAAAAATTGGGATACTGTGAACCTTCCCAATCAGACACCACTGCCTCAGCACTTGAGTCCTATCCCTAGCCTTGGTTTCTCCATAGCTCATGAGAAGAAGCAGAGACTCCAGAATAAAATCAACCCCAGATTCAGAAAGCCATCTTTTATAGACAAAGCCTCATCTTTTATCCAGGGCACATACTAAAACACAAACTAAAACCGCTGCAATTTTCCGAACGTTTAACATTTTGAGAACTCAAAGAATAACCTTCGTGGGTACTGGTTTCTGGAGTATTTTAATTTACAAAGTCTATTTTGGGACCAAGGAAATGCAGCATTTTGTGGTATGGTTTCTGCTGGGGACAGGTGTCCTGCTCTCCTGCAGACCCCAGGGATTTCGTTGGCACAGCCACTGCAGTTGGCTGCCTTGGTAGCCCGGCACTGTCACAGAAGGGATCTGCTCACCTCTCACACCAACTACAGCATAAATTGAGGAAAGCAAATTGGGGGCTACAGGGAGTGCCTTCATGTACATATGTACTCTGAGGTACTGCCTATTTCTACCACATTTCAGAAAAAACGAATTGAAAACAACAAAAAAAGCCATCATATCCTGCAATCTGTAGACTACAATATCTTAGCCAGGAATGCATTCAAGTCCTAATTTGCCCCTAATGTAGCACTTGGCTGACAGGAGCTCTCTACCACTCCAGAGTTTAACAGACAGTAGTCCCAAAAGCATAATGATTTTTTTGAAAAGATGACACCTTTCTAAAAGATATAGTTTATCTCAATGGGAATTTATGAGCTTGATGCAGGAAACACTTGATTAAATTTTACAGCCTGCAGTGTACAAGAGCCAAGATTAGATTATCATAATTGGCCCATCTGATCTTAAAATCCATGAAATGCTGAAAACTGCTTATCCAAGCTCAAGGATGGTATCTGGAATGTACCACTGTGCACTCAGGCCCTATGCTGGTTCTATGCCTGGCAGGAATTACAATGCAGAAAAACAGCATAAGCAAACAAACAAATGCTCTGTATCACTGACAGTGCACAGCTTCACAAAAAATAATAAAGGGCCATCATCTGTCTTCCTTGTTATGTAACAAATCATCCAGAAATACAGAACTGAAAATGATAGGGGAAAACACTGCGGGAAGTGCCCAAAATATTCAGTCAGATCCTTTTTATTTTGAGCATTATTTTCCTGAGCTCAGAAAGGATCATACCAAGACAGTCACCACTTTGAGTGTCACTCCCTGCAGGTCGTTGCCCAGCCGCCGCTCTTGGAGGCTGCCGTTCAGGCCCTTCTCAGAGTCCCACGTCGCCAGCTGGAACAGAAAGCACCAAGAGTCTGAGGCACTGCCAGGCACGGATCCTTCAGCATTTACAAACTGTTCAACAGCAGCTTGACCAAATCCACAACTGATAGAGGGAGGCTGAGAGGTGTGTGCCTTTCTCAATCAGAATGAGCGTGATTCAGAGAACAGACATCAACACGTGCCTTGCCTGAATGTATGTTCATTGATGGGTGCAATATAAATGCTCTATTATCTGTAGTATTTATCATATCATTTCACTTAGTTCACTCTGACATTACATTTCTCCTCAGTAAGTTTATATTGTTTGAGGGTCCTCAGGATTACCTCTGCTTGCACTGTCCCAGATTTCCCTCTCTGCTCAGATCCCTATTTTCTAATATCCTATGTTTATCAAAGACCAACCTTTTTTTCCATAGTGTTTTAGCTCACCTACAGTCATAAATTCTTGACACAGGTTCTACGGTGTCAAACTGTCTGAACTCACATTTTCTTCAGCTCCTGTCTCAAGTCCTGTTTTCTCTGTTCTGGTCCTACTTCTACCTGATCTCTAAAACAATTACAGCCTCTGGAGCTCCCAGGCTCCTGGTGAACAAGTATCTCATATCTACCAGATGAACCACATGCATGTTTTCAGGATATCTCCCTGGAACATTACATCTAAATATTTTATTTTTCAATTAAATGTATAATTTTAAAAATTAATTTTAATGCATTTTCTGAAGAGAAATACAGTCCAATTCAATAGAACAGATTAAATAGAAAAGTCAATTTTTAGTGACCTTTGGATTATTCAAACTAAATATGCTCCTGAGCAGCAGCAGCAGTCAGACTCCTTTTGCCTTCAAACAGAATCCGCAGTGTCATTTTGTTCAAAAGAGACATAAATAGTATCAAGTAGAAACTGTTTTCTTTTTTTTTCTAGCTGTACTCTTAAACACCAATACTATGCTCACATATTTGGAAGCAGTGTTGTTAGCTGAAGGCATGCCCTGTAGAAATTAAACACAGTCCAAGATCTGTGAAATATGGATTCCTCCTGCCAGAAGCTAATTTTCATGTAACAAGTCAAAATCTTCTTGGAAAGAACTTATTTCGCTGAAAATGCCTATGGCTAGATGTCTTACATGATTTATTTCTATGACTTCAGTTTTATCCTAAAGCCTCACAAATCAAATCAACAAATAACATGTGATGGAAGAGATCTGTGCAGTTTTATTTCTGGTTTGTTGCATTAAACTGATAAACAGGGAACTAGAAAAGAACAAGACATTCAGTGAATATTCAGCAGCTATCACAACTGATGAAAATTATTCCAGTCGCTGTATCAGGAAAGCTGAGATGCAGGAGAGGAAAGACTTAAGGTAAACCTCCTTTTATCCAGATTACCTGGAGGGTGGAGGAGGAGAATGTATGAATAATTTTCAGCTTTCTAATGACACTCCTGGAAGCTAAAACATCTCAGATTGAACACTCTCCTCCTGTGATGGCAGTTTGGAGTGACAGAGGAGTGTCTGCACATCAAGAGTCTGCAGCAACACAGGCAGATAAATAACTGTAGCCATGGTATCTTTTGAATTTGAATTTAGATGCTTGCTCTGAAATATTTCCAGATGTTCTTCAGCCCTTGCTACTGCCAAACCAAATGGACATATCTTTGCTTTGACATAACTCAAGATGGCTCAACAGACTTCAAAGATGAGTGTAGGTGTGTATAGCATCTCTTGTGTCTCAAATCTGTAAAGAAAGCTTACTGTTTAAATCTCCTTCGTTTGTCCTTGGCATATGATCAAGATTTTTGACAAAACATCTTGAAAAATCTACAGGTGATGATTTAATATTCATTAAATATGGGAAATGTAACACATTCAAGTTATAACTTCATCACTGGTGGACTGACACATCAATTTTTTCTCCTACATATGCACCTTTCAAAATCTGATTTCATAAAAGGGCCCTAGACTTCGCAAATACTCTGTTTCATATTCTGCACTACCTCAAAGAGTTCCAAAAAATACTGGAGATAAGACAATGTAAACCCATGGATTTTTTTTTTTTTTTCAAAAGAAGAAGACAAAGATCCTTATCCTATGCAGCAGGGGTAAGTGCAAGGAGAAAGAGCATATTTTGTTTCAGAACAGTACTCCAGAGTACAAACTTTTCAGCCTCTTAAAAGCAAACTATAGAGATAAAAATCATAAATGGAACATATGGAAAATCATTTCCAGAAGGGATTTTCCCTGTGTATCCTTGTGCTTTGGAACACTTAATTTGTTAAGAACTGTGCCAATTTTATCTTCCACTTCTTGCAGACAGAATGTTGTTTATAGGAGTGATGTATTTACAGATATGCATATCAATTTGTGACAGCTGACCTGTCAAGATCAGTGCCTGAGAAGCTAATTTCCAGCATGGTTACACACCATGAGTACTGCTGTTAAGGCCATTAGAGTTTCATTCTTTGTAGAAATATGTACAAATTTCCTACCAGAAGTCTGAAGCCAAAGGTTATACCACAGCCATCAGCTGATAGGAGATAAAGAGCTTTTATATCTGATTATGAGAAACAACTGCTTGCAGAATCAGCACTTGCAGGATGTGTTTAAAAAAAAAATCAATGGTCTCTGAAACATGTATTTAATGGCAGTCTGGGTGGGATTTTTTGATTCTCAAGTTACCTGGTTATGTGAGTTCAAGCTTTGAAATCAGCTACTTTATGAAAGATTATCAACTTAAAGCTTCCTAGCTTTTCCTTCTGAAACAGTCCTGTTGCTGGAATCCTCTTGTTCTAGCCATACAGCAGAAGCTAAACCATACAGTAAAAGCTATCCAGAGGAAACAAATGTAGAATTCAGACAAAAAGGTAATTTATTGGAAAATTCTGACTCAAAACATGCTTCCAATTTTAGTCAATATTTACTGCATTTTCAACTAGAACTGTGAGGAAGGGTTTGGAGAGAGAAAAGAACAATTTTTACATTGTTTTCACCCTCCACAAGAAACGCAGGATGAAACAAAGACACTTACTCAAAACACAAGCAAAACAAATGTCTGTCACAGGCCCAACCAAATGGAGATGCAAATTATCACAAACTCCTAGTAAATACGGTTGAAAACAGACATTAGCAAATAAAGTGTTCAGTGTGTCTATCACAGTACTGAACGTGATTATCTACACTATTTTAGTTTACAATAACAATAATGTCCAAATAATGCATGTCACTGCTATCTAACATAATTTTAAGTATGACACCATCCGAGGGTTCTTTGATTTCCTTTATCTGTGTACCCCATATGCTGGATGTGCCAAACCCTTGCCATGAAAAATTGTTTTGCTTAGGAAGACCAAACATGATTCACATAAGAAATAAAAAAGATAATTCTCAGCAGATGCATATTAATGTTTGAAATGGTTACAGTTTATCCAGAGTATACATCTTCTATTTTACCACAACCCAAAAACTTGGGTAACTTTGTTGGAGTTAAGGTTACACAATTCAAAGAAAGTAAATTTGGGGACCACTTACTTGAAATCCAAAAAACTTCTAAGAAACAGGAAAGTGAAAAGAGTGCAAGGCAGGCAGTTCTCACACCACAAGACAGACACCTCCATATCAACCAGAGCATACCTTCTGTGAACACAAAAGCTGTTCTATCCACGGAGTTAAATAAATTAATCTATGGCACTCACAATCTAAAAATGCTTTTAGATTAAAGTTAGACTCAGATTTCACTTCAATGACAACTTGTTTCTTAACCTTGAAGTCAATAGAGTTTATGTCAAGTAAGATGTCCTTCTACCATGTATGTGTATTTTACACATTGGCGCCTCATTCCCTTTGCAAGCCTAGCAATACAGCTAAAATACAGATTTTAAGTGAATCTGGTAACAACACATAAAGAAGAAAATTAATGTTTACAGGAGACAAATATGAAATAAGGCAGTGGGCCATTAAATAAATGGAGTAAATTGGTCACTTCTCTGTTAAAATTCTAAGGAATAAAAGGAGTTTCACTTTAATCCTGAAACAAATTTAAATTTAATTTAAAACATTTAAGTCCACAATTCCTTTTCAAATTAAGTATAGCAGTATCTACAGAATTTTCTGCCATTCACAACAAGGTAGTAGTAGGACTCACAATTTGAATTAGTAGTAGTAGTAGTAGTAGTTAGAAACTCTTTCGTATTTGTGTAATCCATAATAAAAGAGGATTCAGAAAAAGAAAAGGTATCAAATCTCTTACTTGCAAGCAAATCCAAATACTGAACTACATATCAGGAATATTCTAACATTTCTACTCTAAAACATAAGCTTATCACCAATATGGGGATGAGATACTGGGTAAGATCACCAGATGAACTGATTTAAGATCATTCTGTGATCCAGCACAACTCATCCCTGCTTGCAGTGAAATACCACCTACATCCAGACATTCTAGTCTGATATTTTGCATTTTTTTGTATTAAAAACATATCTTGCTTCCAAACATTTGCAGTGTGACTGGAATACCTGCGCAGCCACAGCCATAGAGAACTCCAAACACGTTAACATTACAAAGCAGAGGATTGAGAAGCCTGTCTCAAACGGTACACAAACTCCCAGTCTTTGGGTGAAAATTTTATGTCATCCTGCTCAATGCTCAAGAGGCTCAGTTTGCCATTCAGGGGCTGCATTTACTTGATAAAAGATCAAAGAGGGGCAGGGAGACCATGGAAAACTGCATAAAGTTAGAAAAAAGGCAGAGGAAAAGGTTGCCTCCCCTGGGGTTGCTTTGCCACTGCCACTGCAAGGGGAACCTGGTCTTGTTTCCAGGACAGCAAAGGACACAGATGTTTCTGTTGATGCTTTAATGAGTCTTTAGGAATGCAACACCTTCAGGGAGAAGAATTCAATGTATTCCAATTTTTGTGCAATTTTTTTGCAAATTTATGGTGCTATATGGATGATAATAAAATTTCTCCAGAGAATCACAGGAAGATGAGCATGAGGCAGCAAGACCTAAAAATTACC